GTGGACCCGTACAGTTGACTCCCGGGCATGTGAACTATACATTAAGGCACATTCTATGATTGGATTTCTAATGATGGCTTGCCCAATATAATTGTTCTGATGCCCAACTAAAATCCCTTTTCATTTCTACTCATACTTCAACCCCAAAATGTTGATTCCAAAATGGCTCACTTTTTCCACAACTTTATCATCTCACTTGAAAACGATATCCATTGTAAGTCCGACTGAAAACCAGTCAAGCTTATGTGTGGGGTTGCAAGCACACTATCACATTGATCAATACAACTTTGACAAAGTTGAAAATAGAACTCGCCCAGAACCGGATATTTTTGGGGGGTTTATGAGGGTCCGGCTCCCTCGGTGTGGTTAGCTTGAGGGTGGTGGTCAGATCATATGAGGCTGTGTGTGTCTAGACATGAAGCGCATCTGATCAACTGAGACTGATTACACACCAAACAAAACACTCATATCCCTTTCTTGAGCACATGGTCAGTAAATTGGATAAGTGAATCATCTGGATGTTGATGATGCCAACTTTAGAATCATGGTCGGAGATTCATCTTTACATCGCCATCCGAATCTTGAGCTTGCACCGCCAGAATGCAGTTGATGGAACGCTTTCTTGCATAACAAATTTGATCGATGAATCGATGTGTCTACTATCATCAGTCATATTAAATCCGCTCTCACGCACTGCCGTGTTTTGTTTTTTTTTCCGGCTGAGCTTCCTGAGTCCTCCTCCACATGAAAGCTCAGTCAACACCGATGTGTTACGATATTATCTGGTTAGTGTTACGATATTATCTGGTTAGCTGGTCAAAGATCACAATCCCTTAAAAGGAAAGTGAAAGGTGTTGGATTTAGAAGGGTGTATGTGGTGAAAGTAGACTAATGCGCTGTGGGTAAACTAGGAAGTTGGACAAAGGGATAAGCGATGTGGAAAATGTAGACAGGGGTGTTGGGAAAATCGTTTGGGAGTTTTCTAATATCTTTTGTGTTTCTCTTTCCCTCTTTTCTGACTCTTTTCTTATCGAAAAGAATCAGTAAGTTATTTTACTTTTACATCATCATAGTTACTTCTCGATTGTGCACTACTAACTTTACTCAAATACTTAGATTTTTATTTCAACTCTTTTGTTGTCTGTTTAAGACCTTTCCCTTACGCGCGATCTCAATTCATTTCGAGCTCGCAGGTAGACTCTCTTCTTTCCTTTACTTTTCTAAACTTGTTCATTGTTTTGATAGTTCTCTTGTGTTGTTGATGTTGGTAGGTCAGTTATTATTGTTCTCGACGTGACTAGCGGATAGCTGTAGTCTTACGCCGGAACCTGTGCCCTCAGGTTAGTTAATCGAAAAGAATCAATTTTTATTTCAACTCTTTTGTTGTCTGTTTAAGACCTTTCCCTTACGCGCGATCTCAATTCATTTCGAGCTCGCAGTTATTATTGTTCTCGACGTGACTAGCGGATAGCTGTAGTCTTACACCGGAACCTGTGCCCTCAGGTCAGTTATTATTGTTCTCGACGTGACTAGCGGATAGCTGTAGTCTTACGCCGGAACCTGTGCCCTCAGTGTTCATTGACTGCTACAGATTATCCTGCGACGACGTCCCACCTAGATACCCTTGTGGTTCTAGAGTTTCCTTTCGTCGAGAACTCATTATGGTAGCGAGAGTAACCGATCTTTTCAACCAGTTTTTGCTTGTATGAGTTCCGAAGACGCCGACATTATCTCTGCCGACGATTCTCAGGACAACTCAACCGTTACCGGTGGTTCAAGCACCTCAAGTTCAGCCAATACCTTTGGTACGGTCAAACAATCTCTTACCGAGTCCGTGTCTGCCGACAATCCTCCTGGTCAATCTCGTACTCTGGAACCTTCTTCATCCGTCATGGCTGAAAGTAGTGATTCAAGAGTATTTGGAGATGCTATTCAAAAGTATTCCCAAATCATGACCAACGCTTTAAGCAAATACAAAGTGTCTGATGATTTAACAGACGAAAACTATACCGAGTGGAGTCAATCCCTCATGGAGGTATTTCGATCGCTAGAATTCCATCACTATGTGAAAGTGAAAAATTATCGCAACCAATCTCTTTCGGCTGAAGAACATGAAAAGACACGCTTCAATCTGACTACATACATCTTAAACCGATTAGATTTGATCAACAAAGTCAGAACCAGAAATCGACTCACTGATCCAGAAGATCCCTCCGAGATCCTGTATGATCCATTTCTTTGCTGGTCTTTTCTAAAAGAATACCATAATCGCGTTTCCGAAGATAAGCTAGAAGCAGTCACCAAAGCACTCTATGCTTGTCAAATAGTCAAATCGGACACTCTTTCTTCCTTCATCGACAAATTCGAAAACCTGATTAGGGAGTTCTACCGCCTGAAGGGCGAACTTTCGGATGTTCAATCTGCAAGGATGTTACTCAGTGCAATTCCTTCGCTATCTATCAAAATGAAGGAATACATACACAACACTGTAGTACCCTTAACTCGTGAAGGTGTCGCCACTTATCTTCGCAAGTACGAAGAGCGACATGGTTGGACTTGTTCAGCAATCCAAGAAGCTAACGCCGTTTCGATTCGACCAAACAAGAAGGTTTCGGGTGAATGTACCCCTGATGAATGCGTCGGTCCACATCTTTCAAAGAACTGCTGGTCCAAACCCGAAAACGCAGACAAGCGTCTAGCGTTTCTGACGAAGATTCGTGGGAAATCCGGGGGTGGAAACCTAAACTCGTCTACTCCAATCACTCAAGAATCTTCTGTAAGGGGAGCGAAGAAAGTATTTGATTCGAGTGTCAATAATGCGTCGGCCAGCATGGCGTTTCTTTCACTCAATGTCGAGTTCACTGAAGATGTTAAGGATAACAGCTCAATTACCTCTGTCTCGGCTTCACCATCTGAATTCAATGAAGACCCAGACATTGATGCCTCTGTTTCGGCTGCTCTTTCTTCGTCTCGAGATTGGGCTCTTCACGACACGGGTGCAACTCACCACATGTTCAAGGATGTTAAATTTTTTGATCAAACTACACTTGTGAAGATTGAAGACACCAGTAAACGACTCAAGTTAGCTGGTGGTGATGTATCATTGGCTGTTCATAGTCGTGGAGTTACTAAATTATTAGCTGGTGATGATTCAGTGTTCGAACTCAAGAACTGTCTTTATGTTCCGGAACTTACTCGAAATCTGGTTGCCGGTGGCTTATTGAAGAAATTAGGTGTTCGAGAATTATTCCACGATTCCAAGAATTTTTCTCTGGTTCTCAACGGACTTGCAATCTTCAACGGTTTCATTTCGGACAATAATCTTATGTTCATACTGCTCGAACCCGTGAGTGGCTCTCACTTATCCTCCATCGGCGCTTCAATAACTGAAGTCTCCTTGTCTCTTCAACACCGTCGATTAGGCCATGTTAGCAACAAATATCTCAAGTTGATGGCTAAACATGAAAGTGTGGAGGAATTTAATTATTCAGAAGAAAATCTCAATTGTGACATTTGCTCGTTGTCTAAAAATACTAAAATTCCTCATAATAAAACCCGGCCTCGAGCTCGTACTTTTTTAGAAAATGTTCATGTGGATTTGAGTGGAATAATTAGAACAACTGGAATTAATAACGAAAACTACTTTATTTTATTCTGTGATGACTACTCTGCCTTTCGCCACATTTTTCCTCTGCAAGACAAAACCAAGGAGGAAGTGTACGATGTTTTTATGTTTTATATTGCCGTTGCTGAAAGGCAAACTGGGTGTCCTCTCAAGCAATTCACTCTTGATCGAGGTAGTGAGTTTCTTAACAACTTACTTGGTCCCAAGCTCAAAGAGCTTGGAATTACTCTTCACCTGACCTCAGGATACGCTCCTGAAGAAAACGGTGTCTCCGAACGTGGTATGCGAATAGTCAATACCAGGGCCCGTTCGATGATGCTCGAATCCTCTTTGCCAATTCGTTTTTGGTACTACGCCTGTAGTACGGCTGTTTTTCTCACCAATCGTTGTGTCACAGCTACTCTTGAAGGAGGCAAAACTCCATTCGAAGTGTGGTATTTTAGGAAACCTTCCATCCATCACTTACGAGTTTTTGGCTGCCAAGCTTATGGACTGATCAGGAAAGAACTACGACCTTCCAAGTTTTCGCCTGTTAGTTCAGAAGGTGTTTTACTGGGATTCGAAAATGATAACTTCAACTATAAGTTATTCGATCTAGCGTCAAAGAAAGTTTATATTACACATCATGCGACTTTCAATGAGGAGCACTTTCCCTTCAAAACTCTTCCTTCAGTACCTTCTGCCGTAGACAACACTCCTGAAAGACATCCAGTTCAAGTCCGCTTCTTTGATGACGACGACGATCTGCTGGATGATCAACCAGTTCCTGCCTCAACCTTGATCAACAACTCACATCAATCAAGTGAACCTAACGTTGTTCCAACTGTTCAACCTGTCACAAAGCCAGTTGAAGCTCCAAGACGTTCTAATCGCGCTTCAAAGAAAGTTCATGATACTCTCAGGGGCATGTGTTCCGGTGCTGAATTTGACGATGATTTCATTACTGAATCATTCTTTGCTTGCTTACCGCCTGAATGCAACTTAGCGGGTGTTCTTTCATCACCTGATATTCCGAAATCCTATAAACGAGCAATGGCTTCTGTAGATGCGAAACTGTGGAAAGCAGCTTGTGATAAGGAGTTCAACTCGCTTAGAGATAAGGAGGTGTGGGAGTTGGTTGATCGACCAAAATACAAGAACGTGATCAGGGGGTTGTGGGTGTTTAGGAAGAAGTCGTTAGTTGATGGTAGTGTTAAGTTTAAAGCCAGGTTTGTTGCAATGGGGAATACTCAGATTCCTGGAGAAGACTACGGGGAGACGTTTGCTCCTACGGGTAAGCCTGGCTCGTTGCGTATTCTTGTAGCCTTAGCTTCAGTAAACGGCTGGGAAATCCATCAGATGGACGCCGTCACCGCTTTTCTGAATGGACTGTTAGAAGAAGAACTGTACGTTGAAATTCCTGAAGGATATCGTCATGAATCAACAATTGGTAAAGTGTGGAGAATGAGAAGGTCACTCTACGGTTTCAAGCAATCCCCGAAGATCTGGCAAGATGACGTCGAGTCCTTTCTCATTGAAGTTGGTTTTGAACAGTGTGAAATTGATCACTGTATATACATTAGATCAGTTGGCAATCTTTTTACCGCCGTTTACGTTCACGTGGATGATTTAGCGATAACGGGAAATGACATCACAAAATTTAAATCTCAAATTGCTGCAAAGTGGGAAATGGAGGATTTAGGGATAGCTCATACAGTTGTCGGAATTCAAATTAATAGACTTAATCATTTAACTTACTCGATGTCTCAACAACAATACGCTCAAACTGTTCTCAAGCGTTTCAACATGACTGATTCAAAACCGGCTGTTACACCTTTATCACCAAACATCAAACTTCTACAATCAACTGAAGAAGAAGCTGAAGAATTTTCGAAAACCAAATTACCTTACAACAGTGTTGTGGGGTCCTTGATGTATCTCGCTCAGTGCACGAGGCCTGACATGGCTCACACGGTTGGAGTGTTATCTCAACATCTCAAAAGTCCGAATAAACTTCACTGGGATGCGGCTATGCATGTCCTGCGATATCTTAGTCACACCATCAATATTGGTATTGTGTATTCCGGAAATGATTCAAACATAGTTGCAGGCCAAAGGAGTTTTGAGTGCCCTGTGTCTCATTGTGACGCTGACTGGGCAGGCGACGTTAACACTCGGCGGTCGACTACCGGATATGTCTTTGTACTTGCTGGAGGACCTATTTCGTGGCGAAGTCGTCTTCAACCAACGGTGGCGCTTTCCTCAACTGAAGCTGAGTATAGAGCGATTACTGAGGCTGGTCAAGAGCTATTGTGGCTGAGGAATATGATGGCTAAGTTTGGCTTTATTGATCCTAATCCTACTGTTTTACATAGTGATAACATGGGGGCAATTCATTTGACTTCAAAATCAATTTTTCACGCAAGGACTAAACATATAGAAATACATTATCATTGGATAAGAGAAGTTGTGAAGAAAGGGGAACTTACCATCAAACACTGTCCTACTCACTTGATGGTGGCGGATCTTTTAACAAAGCAACTGCCTAAAGAACAGTTTTCAAACTTGAGGAGGAGTTTAGGGTTAAGGTTTCTGGGTTGATGCTCTTTGAGGGGGTGTGTTACGATATTATCTGGTTAGTGTTACGATATTATCTGGTTAGCTGGTCAAAGATCACAATCCCTTAAAAGGAAAGTGAAAGGTGTTGGATTTAGAAGGGTGTATGTGGTGAAAGTAGACTAATGCGCTGTGGGTAAACTAGGAAGTTGGACAAAGGGATAAGCGATGTGGAAAATGTAGACAGGGGTGTTGGGAAAATCGTTTGGGAGTTTTCTAATATCTTTTGTGTTTCTCTTTCCCTCTTTTCTGACTCTTTTCTTATCGAAAAGAATCAGTAAGTTATTTTACTTTTACATCATCATAGTTACTTCTCGATTGTGCACTACTAACTTTACTCAAATACTTAGATTTTTATTTCAACTCTTTTGTTGTCTGTTTAAGACCTTTCCCTTACGCGCGATCTCAATTCATTTCGAGCTCGCAGGTAGACTCTCTTCTTTCCTTTACTTTTCTAAACTTGTTCATTGTTTTGATAGTTCTCTTGTGTTGTTGATGTTGGTAGGTCAGTTATTATTGTTCTCGACGTGACTAGCGGATAGCTGTAGTCTTACGCCGGAACCTGTGCCCTCAGGTTAGTTAATCGAAAAGAATCAATTTTTATTTCAACTCTTTTGTTGTCTGTTTAAGACCTTTCCCTTACGCGCGATCTCAATTCATTTCGAGCTCGCAGTTATTATTGTTCTCGACGTGACTAGCGGATAGCTGTAGTCTTACACCGGAACCTGTGCCCTCAGGTCAGTTATTATTGTTCTCGACGTGACTAGCGGATAGCTGTAGTCTTACGCCGGAACCTGTGCCCTCAGTGTTCATTGACTGCTACAGATTATCCTGCGACGACGTCCCACCTAGATACCCTTGTGGTTCTAGAGTTTCCTTTCGTCGAGAACTCTAGTTGGGTCTTCGCCCCCGCCTCCCCCCGGCACTTCCCAAATCTCTCGGAGCCCGCCCCCGCAATTCTCTGTCAAAAAAAGCCTTGCCAGAGCTGATCCTGGCTCCCGACCTCGCTGGGGCGGGGCGAAGGCGTAGGACTCATAACGCGACTGCCAGATCTCAGTATGTATTGCTATTGCTTGTCTCCTGGATTGGCTCGTTCTTAATTAAGCCCGTCCGAAGTGGTGCTTGCGTTTCAACAATGCTGATTATCATTTGCACCGCATCCATATCAAAATGAAAGCGATCAGAGCAGATCAGATGTCGTATGGGGGCGAGATACTGAACTTATTGCTGAAGATTTCAAATATCACGAGCTCAAGGCATTTCTTCAGCTATAAAAGGGTCGCTGCCAATGCTACTCCTTTCTCCAACCACCTCTCATAAGCAATCAGATCCATATTATTCCAACACCAGGGATTCAATTATCAAAACATATCTGTTCTAGTACTCGATTGTTCTGCTTTCAATCTATCAATCCATAGTCCATCATGCTCACTTTCATCAAAAGTCTAGTCTTGTTTGCGATTTTGACCTATTCCGTATCTGCAACATCTGTGGCAGCTCCGAATTGTGGGCCAGCCAACAAGGTGACCCTTTCGGATTGTACCAGGTGATTTTCTGATACAACTTCTCATCTGCTTCATCCTGGCATCTTGCTGATCAGTGATTTTCTCTGTTATCTCGTCCATACTTTCACAACGCGAATCATAGTGCCTTGTCTACTTATAACGCAGACGGAAATGGCATGGTCATTCAATCCCAGCCCAGCAACCAGAAATCATGTGGTGGATGTCAGGTATATATCAACCAGAAAACCTGCATATGTTGGAAATAATATGCACATCACTGATGACTTGTTCATGAATTGTATTCCAGATCAATGTATACACCAGAAATGGTCGTGACCTCAGATTGTTAGTCGCCGATTCATACTTTCTTGAGTCAAGTAACGTTTTTGCTAACATAATCATTTGTTCAATGACTTTAGCTCTATGCGAGGTGCACAAGAAGCCTTAAATTCCGTGTTAACATCATGTAGAAATGGAGTATGTGACCACAATCAACTCTTAAAACCGTTCATAATACTCATTTCACATCTCTCCCTTTTGTTCTTCTCCTTCAGTATGGGTCTGTTAGTATTGCTGAGCTGCTCACTCCGGGTCAAAGTTTTAGTCCCACAGTTCTTTCAGTGGAGAAAGGGTCTGGTAGAAATTGTGGTTCATATAGTAATTATAAAGCATAGTTTTCAGAAAGGGAACAAGTACAATACCCTTCATCATCTCTTTCATCTTCCCTGGACATTGTTTTTCTTCATTTGCGTTGGGCGGTTTTTTGGGAATGTCTTCAAATGATCTCCTCATCACTCTAGTTGTTGAAATTTCTCTAGGACAAATTTCTCATATACTTGTCTGATAAATGTACTGTATGGAAAAAAATATAACAAATTTTTCAAAGATGTCAGAGAAGCAAACATCCGCATTTTTCATGATAAGAGCCTCCATACTCTTTTGATTTGCTTGAAGTGGTTGTTCAATCTCACAAATCAGAAACTTTGATTCAACGCTGCTGAAAATGATGGAAGAAAAATGTGTATTACGTATCTATGAATAAAAAAGCTTTTTCGCGCTTTGACCACATTGTTGCTAAATTTAAGTTCAAGATCATCCAAACCCCACAAAGCTCTACACGGAGTGTTGCACGATAAGCCAAGCCCTGCGCAAGGGAACGCACCGTCATCATAATCCACATGGAAAAACAAACACACATCTTTCTAAGGAGAAAACGCCCGAACCATGCAGGGGAGAAATTGGTAGTTACGGGCATATCATTTTTTGCATCACCAGGGGGGGATCAAAATCTGGCTGAGCCCTCGGGCTACTTCAGGTGCTTCATGAATAAATTATTCCCATCAAATCAGTCATTGTTGAAAATAATCGCTCAAAGTTCTCATCCTTCATGATCATCTCACAGTCACAAAAGCTCACAATCGGTGCGCAAAAAGTGGAGTGACTGGAGTGAGATACTCGTTGCCCCCCCTGGTGTATGAGCTATGCATGTCTCGAGATTTGAAAATCCACGAGGTCTGGGCGTTCCTTCAATTTGCTATAAAGCGAGCCTCTGAGCTCGGCCAGTTCTCTTCCCAAGGAATCTTCATAAGCCATCATTCAAAGCCATAGTAAATTTATCACTCCATCTCTTATACTTAACAGGGTATCTCTTGGATTTCTGTCGTCGTATACTACATCATGCTTTCTCTTGTCAAAGTTTTGGTTTCTTTGGTGGCCTTCACCTATAGCGTATCGGCAACAAGTGTGGCAGCGCCCACGTGTACATCATCGAATTCAGTCATCCCAGACGACTGTCGCAGGTCAGAGATTTTTGAAATCTCCTCGTAATCCAGGTCTTACTAGCTGTCTCCTCTCTGATCGTAACTCTTCTCCAATACAACAATCTCGCTTTGACGGTACAATCTACAGTGCACTGGCTAGCTTTCTAGAAACAGACGGCTTGATTATCGAAGACACACCGAGCGATCAAAAATCATGTCATGACTGTCAAGTGCGTACAATCTCATTCATATTCAAAATCGCGCTGGTCACTTATACCTTTTTCTAGGTCTTTATCGAATCCGCCAACAAGGTTGATAACCTCCGATTGTAAGTCACGAAGATTCATGTGTATGCTCAATGAAAAGTTTTGGGTAATTTGATTGGTTATTTGGTACATTAGCTCCGGTGAAGGCGCTCGAGAAGCACTGCAGCTCATTCTAAACAAATGTAGCAATGGTGTATGTGCTTACCTTCTTTCAAAGTCACCCTTCACAATACTCAAGTTTTTTTCGTTTGTGATTTCACCTTCAGTATGGAACAGTTGCAATTCCTGAACTTCCGGTTCCTGGAACAACTACGGTTCCGGCAATTATTTCAATTGAGAAAGGTTCTGGTTCACAATGTGAATTTTTGACTGTTTCTGTGGGGAAGATACCAACAGCACCACCGCGATAAAGACTTTGCAAGTCATCTTCCTCATATGACATGTTGGGTTTGGATTATCTACATCTCTTTTGTTGCAAAAATGGATATGGAGGTTCACCTTTTTTTGTCATATATATTCCCATGGCAAGAATTGTTATGGATTGATACATATCCTTTGATCTAATTATCTATGACCAATACCTAAAGTGTTTCATGAATTGCTGAGCTTGATGTGCATATATATCAAGTCTTTGTCTCTTGAGATGTGAGTTATGGGTGTATTTATTGTTGTGACTTCAAAAAGACATATGTTATCAATGGATTTTTGTTCATGATATGGTATATGTATGCATCTTTGTGATTCATTGCAACTTTTGTAACACCGCGGGAATTAACTCGTTTGAAACCCGAATGAGTGAAATTTCGGTGTCCGGGTTCGAAATTTCCTTGAATCAAGAAACTCGTTCACAACTCGTTAGCAATAGGTTTGCCAATTTCCCTCGGGCTGTACTCTGTACTCTGCTGGCCCCCCGTGTATGTACAGTCACATGATACAACAACAAACCTCAACAAACCCTTTCACCATTCCTCACCTTCACCTTCATTTGTCAAGCCTTGATCAACCATGAAAAAAGAAAGGAGTTGGGTGAGGACATGATGTGGGGTGAGATACTTGAACGGTTGGAATTGGAGGTTTTGAAAGTGCTGTGTATGTGTATGTAGTAGTGTACTCGAGGGAAATCGGCAAACGTAATGTTGACAAGTTGTGAACGAGTTTCTCGATTCGAGGAAATTTCGAACCCGGACACCGAAATTCCGCTCATTCGGGTTTCAAACGAGTTAATTCCCGCGGTGTAAATCAACATCTTTTCACCCCGCCGGAAAAAACCCTTGATCTCAAGAACTCCCGAATCAGCGCACACACTTCACAATCTTTGATCGACGTAAATTTCTCCGCCAAAAGCGCGACTTTATGAAGAGTACACATGTGTCACATTTTCCCAAGGGCTGCTTTTGAGCTCATTTTGTTCCACTCATTTGTTGAGGAATAAATTTGGAAAAAAAGCCATGTCTTGCATCCAAGGTTTTGATCCATGTTTTTTGCCGGGGTCGGATCGGGTATTTTTACAAGATCCTTCAATTTTTCACAATTTGAAGTTCGTGACGTCAGTCACAAATTAGACAGTCAAGGCTAAGCTGATCATGGAAAGCCTACAATATGAAGTTGGTCAACGAGTCATTCTTGACCATCTTCACCTTGGTACATACCCGAAACTTCGGGGACGGGGACGGGGGGTGCGCTATGGGATGTGGAAGCGCATAAGCGGCGCGCACTTCTGTAAGTCATCTTTCGGGTGTCAGTCTCCAGACTTTGGCTGATTGAGAAATGGTCAACGAGAAATGAGAATCAAGGAAGATGAGTGGTCAAGTAAGTGGATTTACTTTATAACAAATAACTAAACCAACAAACACTAAACTTTTGATTTGATTACGAAATAGGATATCTTACCAGAAATATCAAACTTAACCATCTCAACTTTCATCAAACAAACTATCATCAGTTTGATCATCTTGGTCATTCTCTTTAACTTTCCAACCAAGAACTTGATCATCAATCAATTAACTATTCATCAACTTCAAACTAATATCAAATCTAATTCATTGTCATTACCAAGTCCACCCTTAAAGTACGGTCAAAATCTGATCATCGAACCTATCATCAAACCTCAAACCAATACCAAACCTTCATCATATAATCGAATCCATGAGTTTAATTTAGAACCTATTTCGGTGATCTTGGTTGTTCCAGATTCAAGAAACTGGTCAGAAAATGGCGTCTTACCATTCGTGAAAACCTTAAGATATTTATTTAATTATCCATTTTTCAAAGAATTTTTGATATGGAATAATGATTTAAGAACTCATTTACAACTTCAAGATTATGAATTTCTTTATAACGATAATGATTTGATTCATCATCATCATCATCCGAGTATTAGAATTTTGAATCTTCCTGGAAACCTTACTACTTCGATTTCTCAACACCTTGCTTGTTCTTTAGCTACTTATAATACGTGTTATTTTAATGTAAGAACTCTTCCAAAAAAAATCTAAATTAAATGTGATTGGATCTGATTCTTGCGGTTTTTTTGAGGGATGTTTTTAGGATGAAGATACATTCCATCCGAATTTAGATAGTCTTTATACAAAGGTCAGTTATCGGTTATTGTTTTCAAGAAAATGCACTGATGAAGAGGATTCTTCTCAAATTAAGAAATGATTGGGGTTGGTTTTTTGTTTTGTTTTGGTTTAGTACAGTACATTGAAACCGATTCTCAAAACCGATTTCCCATCACTTCTACCACCCATTCGATTAACCCAAGCTCAGATCCACGTGACTTCCAACTCCTCATCTCTCTCTCTGCACAGACCAAAAAGAAGCTCATTGACTGATCAACTAATTCTTGATTTTTTCTTACAAGGTGATTTGAATGGACCAATTACCAATTCAGTTTTGTTTTCCAAACAACTCTCGACTCGATTCTTACGACAATTATCTTACTTTTCATCAGTAACAGAAGAAGAGCAAAAGTTAAATGAAGAAAGTTTTTCAGTTTGGGTGAACCGTCCTGTGAATCGATTATTAATCCAACCCCTAATCTCTAGTATCCCAACTATTTCTAAACCTTTTCATCATGCAATAGTAAGTGTTTCATTCTAATTCCAAACTGTGTGTTTTTTTCTTTGGTAATTGATTTAGAGATTTCAATGGTTTTTTTTTTGGTTAGATTGGATTGGAAAATGTTTTGAAGATGTTTGATCCTATGATTTCTCCTGATCCGTTTCCACTCTCTATCCCGAATCATCTTGAAGGTTTAGATGATCAAATCGGTCAAGTTGCAAGTCTGGATGACAAAGTTTTATTTTTTAGTTCTGAACCAATTGAGGAATTGATGATCAATTCTATCGATCATGATTTAAATACGTGTTGGAAAATTAAACTTGATCATCGTATGTCTTCTAGTCTCCTTTCTCTTGATTTATTCTTGGGTTCAATTTGATTGATTGATTGGTGGTTTTTTTTGGATTGGATTGGATTGGGAGTATAGGAATCGGGATTCAATACAAGTTTATTGGATTGAATTTCATTGCACCAATCTTTTCTTTAAATTCGTTTCAACTCATCTTCAATTCATCAAACCCATCATCATTTCAATCTAAATTGAATTCTTCCTTGGAATTTCTTTCATCAAATTCAACTAAATGGGTTGAGTCTTTTCTTTCTCAATACACAAATCTCATTATTTTTTTTTGAAACAAATTGGTTGAAAATTAATCAAGTTTTTTTTTTGGTGGGTGCGGTTTTTTTAGGAACGTATGGATACGGATTTAGGTGTGGGTAAAATCGGGTTTAAAGTAATTGAAAATGCCTACCAAGATGTTAAAAAAATTAAACTTAGTTTTAGGTTTCATGATGATGATGATGAATCTAGTGAGATTGATGAAAGATGGATTGAGATTTGTGGTTGGATGATTAATGAAGATTGGATACTTTAAAAAGTTTATAAAAACCGGCGGGTGTTTTTTCCTTTCACTGATGTTTTCTTTTTTTTTGGTTGTTGTTGTTTTGAGCAATTATTAGTTTGTGTATGATTTCTCTTTTTATACATATATCAAATTTCAAAGAATGAAATCTTAGATGAATCAGGATCATTTGGTACTACTACTGGGTTTAATGTTGAATTTGTTCTGATAAGTTTTTTTTGGTTTTATCAGATTGGATCTGAAGGTGCAGACAATTCAAAGGGAAGAGGAATCGCGGGCCAGTATCAGCCCTTAGGTTGAGAGTGAAAGTACCATTGTTTTGTGAAATTGTAGGAAATTGTCTATATGTGAATGCATACTTTCTTTCGGGCCCCGTGCGCCCCCTGCCAATCGTCCCCTGCCAATCAGGTTTTTCTGCGCGACAGAGAGGGACGGGTTGAGTTTGCTTTACCAGGTTCAGCCAGCTTCTCTCGTAAACCTTCGTAAAAAAGCACCTCGCGCTACCTCGCAGCCAGGTCCTCGTGGCGGTGGCGACAGAGTAGGGACTTGTTGAGTTTACCATAGTCTGATTTAGCTCATTCAGTTCTCTCGCCGCCACCGATGCTCGCCACATCTGCAAAGCCCTGCAAAACTGAAAACCCTGTTTTGCGCCAAAACAGAAACATACCGGGAAGCTCAGAGAATTCCAAGTTGCACGGCGGTGGCGCTACTTAGCTTTTCGCGTCCCGTATACAAATAGATGAGAGTGGTATCGTCGTTCCGTTCGGATACTTGCATACTCCCACATCATCTTTTCTTGATTCCGAACTACATATTGCAAGACAGAGTACCTCAATCGAAGCTCACCTTTCTTTCGTCTCTTGCTATACCTAAAATGCTCCGTATACTCCCGATCATCTCCGTTTTAGTATTCTCACTGTTCACTCATGGGATCAAGGTGTCGGCGAAATTTAGCTTTACGATGTGGATGGACCAGGTGGTGAAATGTGGCTGTAACGAAGGGTATGAACTAGGAAATAGTTGGGCATGTATGCTATTTTGATCGCCCAGTGACTTGAACATGAATCAGATTGATCACTAATGCGGACCGGGTTTGTGATTACTCATGTTGGAAGATTGCAGTTCGGGTTACCCTTCCACACAGCATTGCAAGTGCGAGAAGTCAAGTTGCAAGTCCCCAGCCGGTAAGTTATACGATCCAAGCCAATCTTGATAGGTTTGAAACAAAAGTAACCTTAAAGCTGATCACCGGACACCCGTTCTTTTGGATTTTGATTTTAGATCCTAAGCTAGTTAAGATGTCAGGCTGCCAACACAATGGACCCAAGGGTCCAGAAGGAGGGGTGAGTACTCAAGACTGTTCAACATATAGTTTTGATCAAACCCATTGGCATTATAGTCAGTATTCCTGAGTTTTGAAAAAAAAAACCTTTACTATACTTTTATAAAGTGTCTTACATATTTAAAAACTTCCTTTGCCTTTGATCAATGATTAATCATCAGTTTGTCATAATCCCGGTGGATATACTTATATTTGTCCGGCTGATCAACCTAATTTCGCAAACACCTACATCAGTCAGTCATTTTTTTTTTCATTGATCAGAAGATAATTACTTAATTGAAACTGATTTCTTGCCTTTTAGCTTGTCACCATTGTTGGTATTATAATTAGGAGATTCTTTAAGGATGTTTCAAGTATCATTCCTCATCTTGCTCAGGTTGAAGTTACATATAGGGATTAAGGGATTGGTCATTCACTCTAGTCTCTGACTCATGTGTCACTGGTTGAATACTTTGTACTTTTTAACATTGTCATTGGATTACATATTTAATTATCTCTACTCTCAATTTTTTTTAACTTTGGATCATCATGAAGGTTTGTGAAAATGTGGAATGTGTTAGTACTATATCTGCATACGAATCCAATCATGGTTATTTTCTTTGATGTGCTACATTGCTGTAAGATTTCCGCACAAGGTGTCCTATGTATGTCTACAAAATCAGAAATCAAGAACCAACTTTATAAACTGAATGTTAAATCTCCTTGACCACTTCTTACAATGAAAATCAAACATTAAAACCTAAATTATTTAATCTTATCATCATTCAACTTTTGATTGACTGTCATCTAATCCTTCCAACAATTTACAATCTAACAATTCCATTAATTTACCACATTCAATTTCATCACTTCAAAGATTGGATTTTGCAACACCAACAGATAAAATTCATATAAAAATTCCAAATCACAATCACTTTGAATCCTTTTCTATGGAAAACGGAGATGGTTTTGACAAACGACCCTTTGGAGCATTCCCCTAGGCTATGATACTTTCACTTATCTCAAGAAGTGTTGTATAAACTGATATTCAAACAAATTGCCATATTGTCAAATGCAATTTGGTCTCTTGTATAGATTTATGGCATCATGGATTTCCCAGATCAGGTCTTTTCCCTTTCATAAGAGTAGTGAAGATTAGAATGGAACAGCTGCTGATGGAGAACAATTATCTCCCTGGCATTTTGAATCTGTGGATTTAATCCCTACAAATCTGACTCAATCTCACCAGAAGATAAACACACAAGAGCCACTACAATGTGCCACATTTTGATCTGATCCTAGGGACTAACTGATCATTTCACCAGCTTCACAAAGCTGATAAATCATGGACAATTCAGGATCCAAAATGTGTCTTATCATGAGCTTTGTAAGTTGCGCCTGTGATGCTATTCCTGGGTATCAGTTATGTGGCCAGGATTAGGATGGATCAAAACTGCTTAGTAGTTGGTACACAGTATTGAAGAATGGAAATGGGTTGGGGAAAAGAGTTTGGATAGTGTAGTAACCAGGTCACTCAACCAAGCCTGGCTCGCAGCGCCGCGCAGCGCTGAAATCGCAAAAACCGGCAGCGCTGCGATTTTTTTAGACACCCAACTACGTTAGTTTCAGCGGGGGTGCGGTTAGCATTTTGCTAAAAAAAAGTAGTTCAAAACGCGGCAATTTCACGCAGTGTTTCAAGCAAAAAAGAAGCAATTTTTTCCAAGCAAGTTAAAGTTAAAAAAAAACTGGAAAACAACGTATTCATGTAAAGACAGTAGAGAAAAGTATTAAAGTAAAACAAAATGATCCCATTGTAAAGACCGGAGAGAAAGGTAAAAAATTGAATGAAAGTAATAAACTAAAATAAGATAAAGAAACTGTAAAGACCGTGAAGAAAGGTTTAAAAAATTGAACAAAACTAGCGAAGTAAAATAAAATGAATCAACTGTAAAGACCGTAAAGCAAGATTAAAAACAATCAAATGAATTGAGTAAAGTAAAAACTAATAAGTGTTACACGTTTTCTTTTGAATCGCTTTCTTTGCATATGACATGACCTTGCCTACTTCAGCAAAGTCTCCCTTCAAAGGAATACCTTCTGAAACCCACAACTGGCCACTGACTGTCATCTCGATCATTCGAGGTTTCAAGCCACCCCGTTGGGCTGTACATATTTGACCAGCCACAGAGAACGACCATTCCGGCGCAGCAGACGCTGCTGGAGTGGCCAGATAATCCTGAGCTAAGAGTGACAACACTGGGTATTTCCCAGCATGAGCCGGAATAAAAGGTATGATGAGATGAGTATGATACAACAAAAAGATTGAGCTGAAAAACTTTACTCACCTTCCACCAATCCAATACAAGTTGGGGATCGTCCAAGTTAGGACTTGCCATTGGATCAACCCCTTGAAGATATCGATCGAGCTCATCAAGATCGCTCGATGTACCTACATTACTGTAGAATGACGGCATTTAAGATCCAAAAGAGGCTGCAGTCAGGGATTTGGATGATCGAGGAGGAGTGTGGAAGTTTGGTGATCACGTTCCGACTCCATCTCATCGCGTTTCTGACTAAATACCAACTTCAATAACTCCTCAGATTGATTATTACCTACAGCTCCCATACCAAAAGAATGAGAGAAAAATTTGACTTGTAGTCCAGGGTGGAAAACGGCGGCTAGGATCAAGGTGTCGCACTCAAGGGCTTCGTTCATGTATGCGATGATCTTGTCAAGCATGACATCCACCATTGGGTAGAGGGGGTCGTTTTCATGCATCTTCTTGAATCGATCCTCCATGGAAGCCTTCAGCTGAACATACTTTACCAGAACCAAGCATCCGGTTGGCTTATTGCCTTCCATGTCCCAAGTCAAAAACTTGTACGGCTGTAAAGGAGGAAAAGCATACAAAAAGAATAAGTATAACAATACTAACAATGAAACATAATATATAAAAAGATTGAAAGTTAAATGAAAGAATACATACTGTCAGAATATCCAACATGTCCCTCATTGCTTGCCAATCAGCAACAGAGAATGTCATCTCCTCAAAGTACCCATGCTTCTTCCCATCCTTTCTCGGACGACGCTTCTTAGAATGGACTTCTTCCATGTCATCCCTCATGACTCAATCAATGAGCTAAAAGATAGACACAGTTAGCATTCATCATAAACAAAAGAAATCATAAGAATAAAAATAAAACTTACACTACGAGCCTCCCACATTCTCTCCCAACATTTGGCACGGATACCCCAGCGGATACCATGACCTGATAAAAGTGATTTGAGTTGAGGTAAATCTTCGTTTTGATGCTGCAAATTTGCTCTTTCTCGGTGGCGATTGAAGTCGGCCCGGTGTGCGCTTGAACGGGTGAGCTTCTTGTTCACAGTCTCCATCTGAAGAAACCAGTCAAAATCAGAGAGTGAATAAGACAAAAAACAAAAAGGAAAAAGAAAAAAAGAACAGCTTACGTCTTTAGTCAGCTGTTTCATATATGTATTACCAAGAAGGTAGGCTGTCTTACGGTGTTGGTATACTTCAGGTTTGTCCTGTTGCTCTGAATCTTCTTCTTTGTCGTCAGCAGGTTTGGGTTCAGTCTCAGGTGTTGAATCGTTGGAATCACTACTGTGCAGTGTGCACACTATCCAGATCATCGTCATCGCTGTCACCAATATCAAGATTGTAATGATTGAAATCTGCATTGTTGACAGGTCCATCCACCTTGTCTTGCTCTTCAATAACCGCCAACCGTTGGACTACTGGAAATCTACCTAAGGTGGAATGTCGAATTCGTTCAGGTTTCATTCCTAGCGCATCAATACCTGCCTTCACGATCAATCCCATTTTGTGGCAAAAACACCGGATTTACATGGTCTTGGGTTCCCAGGCCAGCTGATGGTCTACCATCAAACCTTCACGCTCAAGCTGGCGATGCATCTCGCGTGCCATAGTGAAGTTGTTGCTACCGGAATCGGAGCAACTGGCAAGCATGTAAGATCTGAAATCATGTCAGCATGAGAAAAGATACAACCCTAAGAAAAGTGAGGAACTCAAAACTTATCTTTTGATACAGATTATTCTTCTTCAATATTGCCACCATCGGCTCGGCCAGAAGGGTCCCCTTGTGATGCCAAGCAACCAACTTCAAACTCAAATGGCGGACCACATAGGTCCAGTCGTTCTTAATGTAGGATACCAAGGCTCCAATGAAAGCATGAAGGTTGCCCTTGACAGTCCAGACATCTTGAATAAGACAAAATTTGCTGGTCAACTCCTGAAAAGTTCAAAGTTGAAGAGCGAGTCAGTACATGATTTGAGATTTAACAAGACTTAGAGAGAAAGTAAAAGAGAGTGGAACAAGGGGACTGAGAAAGATACCTTGAGTTCTTTTTCAATCACTAAATCACGAAGAGAAAGGTAAAGATGCTTAATCTCGTCAGCTGCCCACTTGCAACCAAACAGACGTAAGTCTGGTCGTAACCAATAGATGATTGACTTGAGCATCGGGTCTTCGATTCGTATGAAGGGCAACGCGTGGGTGACTAGTCAAACTGAAAGGCATTGGTTGAGAGTTTTGTTGGAAAATCCAGGGGGTGATTTGACAAAGGTGGTCAAAGAGGACTGGTGGTTATTTCTAAGACTTTCAGCGCATAGTTCAGAGACAGTCGGAGGAAGCTTGGCTTCAAGCGCGATCATCTGTTGCCGGCGAGGACAGCCGGCTCCAGATTTACCAGGTTGCTTGTGTCCATCTCGATGAACTTTGAGATTGGATCGACGTGAACTTGCACTCACTCGAACCACCTTCTTGCACCCAATGCACTTGTACGATAACCCTGGCCGGTCAAGTGGCTAAATGAAAAGATTTTATATGAGCTTAAAAGAATAATAAGAATATGAGATAGAAATAGATCAAAGGGAAAATGAATTAAAAGTTGAAACCCACATCATTCCGTTCATGAATAGGTGGCTCAAAATAGTCAAATTCACAATCGAAATCTTTTACCTCAGGCTGGTTCCTCTTTCGCTTCTTGAGACGAGTGTTATCTTTGTCAGAATCTTGAGCCAAGTCCACGTGAGGAGGGCCAAAAGGTTCCTATGGACAAATGTAAGAAAAGACGGTCAATCAGCACATCTACTTGTGGATAACCATCATCTTCTACTTACCTCAGGATGTTCCAAGGGACCATCATCGTCCATCTCGTCATCGTCTACTGCGTCCACAGATCCTTGGCTGGCGGTTCCAGTGATCTAAGTATCAAAATCAACAAAAATAGACCAAGTGAAATTTGATCAGGATACTATTACCAACATTAGGACCGATTCAATATGAAAACTACTTACTGTTGAAGATGGACGCGAGACCGTCATTGATCGGCGGCCACGTGCAGGGACTCGGGTCACTTCATCACCAGGTAAAGAGGCCGATTGTTCTCGACGTCTGTGCACATGCGCATCTCGGACATCTCTGACCGAGAAGAGGTCCCCTGATCCACCAAGGCCTCGTCGAGAGTCAGACAAGGGAGTGATCATCGCGGGGTGTCTTCTGGCTGGGGTGATGATTTGAGAGGAACGGCGAGGTGGAGCAGAGGTCTCATCGGTTTCGTATCCAGATGCTACAAAATATTCCAGGGTGGGTTGTTTGTTTGACATGTTCAGGTATGCAATAGAGCAATTGATAAGAATCAAAGTGTTGATAGCGAAGAAGTGGAATGGGTTTGAATAGAAAATTTGATAGCTATGATGTGGTCCTGGAATGGATTGAGTGAAAGTTGAAACAAAGGTAAGTAAAAAAAGGACGGTCAACAACTATGATGGAAGTGATCAATAGTCTTAGACACTGCGTCCACGAGAGACGTTCTCGACGTCGAGATCGTTAGATGGGCAGTGTTTGTCTCAAGTTTGGCCCAAGTTTGGCTAGACTTTGGCCCCAAATGCTCACGTGAACTGCTCAGGAGAGCCTCTAAGCCTCAATCAAAAAGCACATCCTGGTTGAGCCTGGTTAAGCGGGTGTTGCTGACCCTCAGAGCAGCTCAGTTTAATCTTCCAAATGTTCAATCTTATTTCCTCAACCTCCCCCCTCACTCGATATCGTCTCTTTTGCCATAGACTATACAGAATTTTGCCTGAATCTGGAGACTCTACATACTCACCACCGAACATCCCTCATCTCAATCTACCTCTCCACTTCCTACCGATTCATCTTCATCTTCAGATCATCTATCTTCCTCCAACCTTTCAAGTTCAATCGATCATTTACATCATCATGATTTACGTCATCATGCTCCTTTATTCGAAAAAACCACTCCACCACTTGAAAGAACTCTTGCTCAGGCTGGAATTCTAACGGATGCAATCCAGACAGTTGAATTGGTCGGAGGATCGACTCGAGTACCTGCTTCAAAATCTTGAATTCAAAACGACTCAACATATCCAGCCTTATCAAAATTTGTAATATAGTATTCTACTTAATGTGCTTTATTATATACTCGTTATGCTTATTTTAATGTACAAATATGATTGTTGATTGATTTTTCAAAAGTAAATGTTCATGAATTCTTATGGAACTAATTGATTTATTTTTCGGTCTGATCGAACGTATACCATGATTGTTTGAATGTTTCCTTTGAACTTGATAAACTGTGATATATTGAGTGCTAGGTTAGTGAGACCAAGGATTATGAAATATCAGAAATAGTGGAACGAAATTGTTTACCATTCATTTAACAAGGGATTTGGCTCCCTCCTTGTCTTTTCTAAGGTTGTCTTCTATCTTTCAAACTTATAAAACTTTGGTTTCAGTTTGCTGGTTTCTTTTCTTTATCAGTCTTCTTTTAAATGCCTTGCAAAGATCACAAAGTTCAAGTATGCCCTCTATAGATCACCAAAATGACCACCAATTCTTGTATTTCGATCAGTTCAAACCGCGTCCTCTAGAACAGGCTTTCTTTGCGTTCAAGCACTGTTACGACAAGAAACATAAACATCGACTCTTGCCTTGAAAGACCTAAACTCGAGCAAGTATGTTTGAAACTGTGATAAATTTCCTCTCAAAGATTCTCATTGTATCGAATTCAAGTCTAAGACTTCAAGTTGTATCTTCTGCTATGAAATTACATCCATCACTACATTACCCACTTACTAAGTCTTCAACAAAATATACAACAACAATCTATAACAGTTTGCTTTGTCTTACTCCTAATGATTTAGCTCGAAGGTAAAACAATGAGAAAAGAAAGAAACCTCAAATTTGCTAAACCAAAATCAGTATCATATCACTAATGATAGTCAAGAGAAAGACTTACGATCAGGTTGAGCAGTAAGAGCTGAGATCAGATCTAGCACTAGCTCATTGAATAATTTGGCTTGAGCTGCGATGAGACAAATCGATCCTTGGACTGGGGTCGACCGTGCCTGCAAAGTATGAACGAGGGATACATGAACAAAAGAAAGGGGGATCTCTGGCATGTAAGAAATAGATCATTGTAGCTTACCAAATTTCCTAATCTTGCACGATGAAAATCAGACTTGAATCGATCTTTCTCCTCAATTTCGCATAGAGAGCGTACAAGACAACGTCATCAAAGCTTGATCATCGCTCGTAGCTCGGAGAGCAGACTCGAGTAAGATTGTGTCGATAGAGAGAACTAGCAGGTTTATTCAAACTCGGTCCTAAGCTTTCAATCAATAAACTGATAAAATCGCCTCTACATTAAATCAGATTTAATTGATGAGACTTACCTTTTTAGCAAAGATCGGATTAATAAAACTAATTCACCATCCCAAATCCAACTTCTTGATAATTCGAAATAATCCATAAGAGAAACTCGAGAAACTCGACATCTCATTTGTTTATTCAAATAAAACATTGTGAAGAATTGTGAAGAAATAAAAAAGATGTAAACTTACGGATAGAGTGAAAGTGAAAGTGTGAGTGAATGGCGATCGATCTTGATTTCTTGGTGTGCGAGATGGTTGTGAAAATTGTCGAGTGACAAGCACTGAATCTGAGGGAGGATGTGACCCGGGACCTCCTCTCAAAAGTTTCGGGAGTTCAGGGTGGACCCGGACCCAAACCACGGGGTCATGCCGGTTTGCTGCGCTGCGCGTCAGCTGTATTTGGGGGCAAAAAAGAAAAAGAAAAGTGCGAACAGGACAACAATTTTGTAGATAAATCAAACTCATCAAAAAACTCAAGATACAAAAACGTCCCAGGGTGGGTGCTGCCATGAGTACGGGTGGCCGCCCCCCGCGCGCCCCGCAATTTCATTGGGCTGATGAATCTAATGCTGAATCAGAGGAGGAATCAGAGGAGGAATCAGAGGAGGAGGTCGCAAGCAATGATGACAATAGTGGCGATCTAGACGATAATAATGACAACAGCAACGGTGGTGATGCAGAATCAATAAGTTCATCCAAAGAAGTCGAGAATTGTGAAGACATCTTGACCAAAAGTGAAAATGAGTAAGTGAAGTCTCTAGCAAGTGTTTCACATTCAGATTGCTGATCCTGAAGATTACATCTTTAGTCCTCACGTTTCAACTACTGTATCTGGTTCAGAAAATCCTGAAGCGGACACAGGAGCATTCAAGCCTCTCCCACAAAACCTTGTGGATTTATTTCAATTGACTGAAGCACAACCTGAACTAGTAGAATTCAAAAGCAATTTAAAACTCGATCACAACTTACTTGAGACAATTGTCAGATCTGTTTTATTAACTAAATGTGCACTGGATTCACGTCATAAACATCAAGAGTCAGTTTTGGCTCGCAATTCATTCGAATCTGGTACGGCTAGATTACATTCAGATTATGCTCCGCTCTACGAATCTCATAAAGCTCAAGCTATGGAAGACGTAGAAAAAGTTCAACTTGAGCTTAATCGTTCATTGAATTTGATTGATGAACCAGAAGTCAAATCACAAATTCAAGAATTCACTATCAAACATTACCAAATGCTCATGTCATCCGATACAATTAGTTGGGATCCTATGCCAATTCAAAGAAGTGAAACTTCAAATCTATAGATCAAACTTCAATTTTCGTTACTGAGTATTACAATTATCACAAATCTATTGGATCAGTTTAATGTTTGTTTGGTTTTTTTAAGAGACTTGTTTCATGTATATATAATAGAGATAAAACAAAACTATCTTTACACTTTTTTATAAAAAAATATCTCCGCCTTTCTGTCTTCTTCTGCGGAAATATATTAAAATTTAAATTGTGATACCTTTTTTGATATAATTGATTTCTTTTTTTTCATGTGGATTGAGATATTGAGAAATTGGGAGCGGAATAGCCTGAAGGTAAGGTGTCTATCCATTTTTAATTCTCAGTTGATCAATCACAAGTCAAGTTCAAGTTTTGAAAATGATAAGGTTAAGACTCTTCTCTTAGACTCAGACATGATCTTGTTTGAACATTTGTTGGCTGGAATGCAATGATTGACCTGATGTTGAAATAAAGATAAATTGAAATCGACATCAAGCGTCAAGTGTCTCTTCCTATCACAGTGAAAAATACAAGCAGAGAGTGGACAACAGACAAGATAAAACCAGGAGCTCCACCCAAAAGAATAAGGCTTAAGAAGAGGAAAAGTACAAAAAATATTCATGCAAGCTAACTATTCAAAGGTCCAGAACACCCTTCAAGGATATGGCCTTCGTCATCAAGTACACGATTCACAGCATGGAAAGTTTTCTTCCATATGTATAACGCTTCTTCATATTTCCATCCGTTCCCCCAGGGGGCATCGGGCAAGACATTTAATTCACCCACACCCAACCACATGATTATTCGAATCGCTTTTTCTTTGCATCCACACAGCGGGGTTGTTGGGGTGAGATCACCTACTTATACCAAGATATCCTTGATCAATATCGTATCTATTGATCAGAAAAACTAATTGACTCACCGCGGTAATCTTTCCTGAACACAAGACGATATCCAGCTTGAGGCGCCTTTTCCACTGATTTACCTTCTTTGGCGAGGGAATCCTCCTTGTTGTTGTGATTCAGCTTTCCACGTTTCAAGTAGGTTTGAATAGCTTCTATAGCATCTACTTCAAAAGCATTGTCTGCATTGCGTTTTTTATCATTCGTAGTTCGCACCTTGATACGCTTGGAAGAGCGTACCCCTTCAGATTTTGTGGTACGTCGTTTGGTACGTCGTTTGTTGTTAGCAATCAACACTGAGACTGCTACAGGAAGTTTTGAGATCAGTGATTCATGACAATATGCATCATTGTCAAAGTTCACTTGCTCACCAATTTCCTCTGGGTCAGTAGGAATTTTGAGAATATCAGTTTGTTCGGTATCAGAAGAGTGAACATCGATATCCACTACTTGATAATCGGGTTTCCTTGTTTGATCCTCAACCGATGTATCTGACATGCATTTGTGATTCAAGTTAAAGTGTTTCAGCAGACTCAAACTACGATGGCTAATAAGATAAAACAAGTAGGGTAACAAAGAATCTCACCATCATGATCATCGCTACCTAAGCCCGTAGAGTTTCTGTCAGTAGCTTTCGCAACTTGTAAAGGATGAAAGACATGAGTGAGTGAAAACCAACAGGAAAACTCTTTCTCAAGGAAGAAAACTCACCATTCACATCTGTCGTAGATTCCCAATTGACAGTGATTAGGTTACCAAGTAGAGTGAATTTTTCAGACACAGTTCGGTTCAGGTCTTTTATGGTGAACGTCCGATTGGTGGTCCAGTTTTGGAGCGCAGTGAGTTTTTGAGATACAATTTGGTTGATGCCGTTCATAGTAAATAATTCAGATGAGTCAGGTTTATAGAGCGGAGGATGTATGTTTTATTGAAAGCTAAAATTATGAGATTTTCGAAAGATGATTAATTGTTTGATGATTGTAATGGATGATAATTCTATTTATACCATAGCCCTGACTATTAGTTGCCTTTCAAGCACTCGTCTCTTACTGAGGATTCTTGATATTGCATGCTTACAATACATACGCTGAGTCTCTTGATAATCATCAAGGGGAGTTTTCGTGTTTGAACTTTGAACCTTCTATCTCAGCAGCATCTCCTGGAGCATTCCTGAAACATCTCGACTTCACCTTTCAAAATTTGTTGAGCTCAATGCAGGCTGTATCTTGTTTGTTCTTCAAGACAGCCCCCAAATCTTTTCACTTAACTTTCCGGCGAGTATGCAATACACCGACTGAACTCCCATTCACCTGAGATAGTGGCTATGGTCCCATTGTGACCAAGTTTCCAAAGTCGTCTGTTCAGCCGAGCAAACGTTAAACAAACCCAGGACTCATCTCAACAAAGAAGTTTCCCTTTTCTTCAGCATGTCATATCAATTTGGTTATACTCAGTATGAGATCAAAGCTGCACCTAGACCTTTGATGTGAGCCAGTCACAAAAGGTTTGAAAACTCACTTCACCAGTAAACCGCTTAGCTGGGTAAACAAAAGCCCAGCTTTTGGTTGATCAGAGTCGTGCTCCAACCTCAACAGGTTATGTACCAACTTGGGTAGGTCATGAATCACCCCGTAAATTCCTGTCTAACGTGTCTGTCCATCTACATATTGTTAAATAATACAAGAAGTGTGGCTACGGTGATGAAATTCATCTGGATGACTTGTTTTGTCAGAGTCAAACCCCTCGAACCCCACCCCCCAAACAAGAAGAAAGAGAAGAGAAAGCTCGCGAATTATGATCTCTAGTGATAATGCTTAGACAGATAATGTACATTTGAAAGTAATAAAATTAAGTTGATGTTGGTTCATTGAAATCTCCCAATGTTAATTCCATTGGATAATCAAATTCTTTGAAAGCTGAGATAATCTCATTTGGACTGGGTGTTGGAAGTGAGATTGTTTGGTTGTTGAAAAGTTGATGAGGTGTTGAAATGTGTTGTGTTTTTTTGTTGACGAATGTTGTTTTGGTACCGACGTCGGGACAGGTATATTGGCAAAAATTTGATTGGTCAAGCTGGAACGCAAGATATTTCTTCATTTAAATACAAGTGCATAGTTGTCTATCATGTACATACAGGTCTGCTCAGTTTTTTGCCCATCAGAATAAATAAATCACATGTTATACCACATGTAACTTAGGGCCTAAAGAAAATAATACCGAGTTACCGACTACATATCATTCTGTAGCTGCTCAAGCAATATTGTTGAAGCTATGTCTTAGTAACAGAAAGTGTGTTACATGCAGTTGAGTTGATGAGATCACACCAAAACATTGAGTCAGTGTATGAGTCAAACCCCTCGAACCCCACCCCCCAAACAAGAAGAAAGAGAAGAGAAAGCTCGCGAATTATGATCTCTAGTGATAATGCTTAGACAGATAATGTACATTTGAAAGTAATAAAATTAAGTTGATGTTGGTTCATTGAAATCTCCCAATGTTAATTCCATTGGATAATCAAATTCTTTGAAAGCTGAGATAATCTCATTTGGACTGGGTGTTGGAAGTGAGATTGTTTGGTTGTTGAAAAGTTGATGAGGTGTTGAAATGTGTTGTGTTTTTTTGTTGACGAATGTTGTTTTGGTACCGACGTCGGGACAGGTATATTGGCAAAAATTTGATTGGTCAAGCTGGAACGCAAGATATTTCTTCATTTAAATACAAGTGCATACGATCTAGATATATGTATCTCATCATTTCATCCTAGTAGGTTGTGGAACTTAAGTAGCAAGTCTGTAGTATGCTAGGAGTGAGGGCCTAAAGAAAATAATACCGAGTTACCGAGTCAAGTGAATCAAATATATACAAGATGAAAGTGTGGAACAACAGGCAATGGATACAAAAGATTGGGACTGGACAATGAATTTAAAGAAGACCTTACCGAGTCAAGTGAAGCGTTATATACAAGGTGAAAATATAGTAAACAAAGTGGAACAACAAGCGATGGCTACAAGGGACACCGGAAAAAGGCAGATGAAAAAGTCAGGTGGCCAACGGACAATGAATGAAATGTGATTTGCCTTCTCGGACCAAGGTAAGGTGGTGGAAAATCTCATCCAAAAATGGATCTACCTCGTTAATGCACATCTGACAGGCTGCTTCATATACATGAACAACCAATCATCGTGATAAAACATAATTGCATATGTCAGCAAGGGGTGATGACTATCAGAACATGATGAAACAGTCGACTGACCATCAGGACCAGAAATTCTGGTGGGAGAATCACCTGTAATTGATCCGGTGAAGACCGATACACAAGCCTTCCTGCGCTTATAGGGGGGGGCTGTAACAACATTATATTGAGTTCACAATGAATATAGTGGTAAGGAATTTATTTGTGCTTACCCTCGTCAGACTTAGTTGGATGCTTGACTGAATTGGCGATGATCTTGCGTGTTGCAAACCTGTTGGACCGTTTGAATTGAATGTCTCTAGCTGATAGATCAAGTTCATAGTCAGTCTTTGTAAAAAATGAATGCCAGGTTTTCGAACCCACCATTATCATCGTTGATTTCCAGGGAAACTTCTGCTCTACCTCGTTTTTTATTAGTGATGGCACTATTGGTGTGCCAGTGAGCTGGAGGAATATTGCCAAAAGCATAAGAGGTATGACCGTAGTAGTGAGGTGAATTAGTTAAAACCAACTAATTCACGTATATAGATTTTTCAAACCCACCATCATTATTGTCGATATCCATGGGAACTTCAGCTGTAGCTTGGTTTTCATTAGTGGTGGGACTATCGGTGTGCCGGTGAGCTGTAAGAAAGGTTTTCAAAAGCGTAAAAGGTATGACCGGAACAGTGATTTGAAACGGCAAATTCAAATCAACTCCAGACCAGAGTAAAAAGACAATTCGAAGAATTTGAGAGAAGGATCAGGAAAGCAAGTATCGGAACCTACAGATCACATCAGCAGCATTAAGTAACAGGTCGATCCCACTAGAATCAGAAGTGGGGATAATTTCCTCCGCCGACACCCAAGAAGAGTTAATCAATATCATAGTCCTTCGTAGCACGGATTGATCTAATAATGGCTCGGTGACAGTGTATTCTGGAGATTTGCTCCCGATCGAGGACACGACATCATCAGAGCCACCGTCGCTTGAAGTGCTGGAAGATTTGTGAACGCTGCCATTGCGATTATGAGGTGATTGTGATAGTTTTGATGTGACTGCAAAACAAAAAGCACACCAATCAACAAGACACCCAAGAAGTACTTGCAAGAAGTAGAGAAAATTTTCAAACATACGTAGAAAACAAGGTGAGTCAACTAAAGCATCTTTGTCATTGGAACCCAGAATATTGAACTCAGGATCTGTGGTCGAGTTAGGAGCCAGAAAAGGGTCGCCTGGCGTGGAGTCGGGTGAAGGTAACCGATCATCATGTGGAAATTCACTTGACAAGCTCATGCAGTGAGAAACACTAGAAATTGCGCTTTGAGTGACTTCTGCCACTGGTGTAAGAAAAGGATCTCCCAAAGTCTGAGTGGACTTGGAATGGAATGAAGGCGTTTGAAAGGTAAAAGTAGCTTGTTTTACGACTGCTTGCTCAGTAGTTCCAGCTGCAGAGGTATCAGATGAACCTTTTGATACAAAAAACCATGGAGTCAGTTCCCGAAAGATGAGCTTGTCCAAGAGCTGTAATGAGAAAGCTCACCGAACAAGTTTCTCGCCTTTGTAATGCGGTTCTTCAGAAATCTAATCGTGCTCTTGACCACCTTCATGACACGCGCAGCAGTATTAAAACAGTGAGAGGCGATGAAAGATATTTGATTGAATCAAAGCTGGTCGATTCAGAAAGGAAGTCAAGGATGTAACGACCAGAAGGGGTTGTGTTGGTATATCGCAATGGAAAGTGCGTTCTAGAGATGGAGAAGATAGACGCGAAGATTTTGGGCATACCAACATATAAAGATTTGTAAAGTTCTTGACCGTAGCGGTCAAATGACAAGTGGTATAGCTTTTTGCCTTTGTTCACATTCATCTCATACCAACATCTCTACCTTTTCCTTGTCTCAAACATCAGAGGAAACCCTCCGCGGTGAGCATATATCTAAAAGGGAGTCATCATTTGACATCATGAGACTGATTCTCGGCTAGAGATGTTATTTGGTCACCAAACAACGTTTATGCCCGAAACTTGCCGAACTTCTCTACAGCACCACAAAAAAAAGCAGAAAGGCCGGTCCATCATACGGCACAGAATATTAGGAAGAAAGAAAGGATCAGAACCGATGGGGCCCAATCCACATTATCAGAACCAATAGGTCTCTTACTAAAGATAACGGAATATACAAAAAAAAAATTGTTTGGTGACTAAACAACTTTATGGAGAGGCCAAAACTCGCCGAACGCTTCTACAGCACACCAAAAAGAAAGCAGAAAGACCCACCCATAACAACGTTTATGGAGAGGCCGAAACTTGCCGAACACTTCTACAGCCCACCAAAAAGAAAGCAGAAAGGCCCATCCATAGATCAATCTACACTACCAGCATTCTCATCTTACTCTCTCTATGATAAAGCACAAAGGCTGAATCACGACATTAGGGGTTGCCTACTAGCCCTTTCGAAATACGACCAATTATAGAATCCAGGATGGCCTACGTGATCAATGGAGTGATACATAAGCTTCCAGACTTCCTTACTTGCTTTATCTGTCCACTGCTCTAAACCAACTCTGGTGTAGCTTTTTGACGTTCCCTAAGCCGTCAAGCCTGTGAGTGTCTTACAAACGATAATCTCTTTTTTTGGCGGGTTTGTGTCCTGCTCTAAACCACTTCTTTTTACCCAGATCCATTTGATTATTTTCTTCTATATTTGACGGACCTATCCTAGCCGTATTTCTTGCAAAGCGTTCAATCTATCACGTTTGTGAGCATCTTATCCATTATTACTGAAGTCCGAGATGATGACACTGACTTCTGTTTTTGCTATCCTTTCTATGTTGGTCTGGTGTTTCAACGTTCAGTCTATCAAGCTTGTGAGTACCTTATCCACTTCATTATCTTTGCTAAAATCTCTGATCATCTCTGGCTTCTGTTCCCGCTAGTGTATCTTCTGTTCCTCAGAACGACCCAGAAACGTTACTGTTCTACAACCCCTCCATACACCACTTAGAGTAGTAAGTTGTTTTGGTTTCATGTTGGCTTATCACTCCATTTTAGGTCTTCTGATTGCTCGTAAACATTTAGCAATGGCCATCAGGATCTGCCAAACTTTCAACGTCATTGGGGATGTCTATGTAGGAATAAGAAGCACACGCATCCAAGACCAACGCCGCCGAAGTGTGACACCTGCGTCAAATCACGATCGAAATATGAATGCTTCACCATCCAGCCGATCTGACACACCCATGAATGATGATGATGATCAGGATGTACTCGCTTTGCCACAAAGCCGCGCGGTCACACCCATGAGCGGTTATGAAGCTCCTCCCTCACCTGTTGAACTAGCTGCCCCGCCAATTGATCACGACGCAAATATAATTAACCCCCCAGTTGATCACAATGTGCGCATACCTCATTCACCACGCCGCCGTTCACCACGTCTTTCTGTACGCCCTTTACCGCGCCGTTCACCACGCCGTTCACCACGTCTCGCTGCAAGACTTTCACCACGTCCTGGCACACCCCTAGTCAATCACAATCGAAACAGAAGACATCGCCATCAACGTGTTTGGCCCTATTTGATCAAGCGCAATTTGAGGATGATCTCTCCCGACGAAAATCCACGGTTTTGGCAGAAGGCGTTTACTTTAAGAGACGATTTACTTCAGTTTATGATGCCTGATTGCAATCTCTGGGACTTTTTGACCACCCGAAAGGTCCTTCGCCAGCTTATTGCACACTTTGATCCTGCCTACTACCTCCGCCGCCGAATTAATAAGGGTGAGCTCATCGAAATCTATCGGGAAATTGTCAGCAGTGAGTTTGGAGTGATATATGGCTGAGGTAAGTAATATGTTTTGCACTTGTTTTGGACTTTTTTATGAAAATGAGCACTAACGTAATGTTTTGCTATGTTAAAGGGTCCGTCTTTGGGTTATCTGTCTTGATCATACGTCTCAAAAGTTACAAATGTCTACTACAGATTTATCTTACAATCTTGTGTTATGCTTGAATCTGATGCTTTCTTTCTGTGTACATAATTTTATTCTTATGATTTTTGGTGAACATATTTTCTCTCTTGTTGCTATCTTCTGGTTGAAATCATGTACATATTTTCATTCTTATGCTTCTGGGTGTACATATTTTCTGTCTGTGTTTCAGTCGAGTGGTGAGAATACTTGGAATGGAAGATGTGTCTCAAGGGGGAGGTCATATTCAAAAAGCTTTTCATAGTTCCACGAATAATGAAAGAAGCTTGAAAGCA